TATATATATATATATATTGAGGTGCCTATAATATAAAAATAACTAGATAATGTGGAAATCTGTTCAAACCCACATATTACAAGATAGTCTTTGGAATTTGGATACTAGGATTGTGGACCAGGAGATAATTTCAGAGCTATACATACTCAGCATTCGGTGAATACCCTCTGTTTCTGCAGAACAAAAAGAAGATTTTTGAGGCCTATTTTTAAATATCCAAGGAAAGGCATTAAGCTTCCTCCATATGGCACTGGTTTAGAAAATAAAACTAAGACTCATGGAAACACATGAAGATTTCTGCTCAATTCAACGGCTCCAACAATTAAAATTCTGCCAATTCTCTGGTCTGCTCCAAGTTGTAGTGAGGACACATTACAAGAGATGGGCAGAGGCTGCAAGACACTATTCAAAAATAGTTTTGAGGAGATTCAATTATCAGACCGTGAGTTGGATTAGATGGCCGTTTAAATCCTTCCTGATACTAAGACTCTGTTTTAATTTGGTTTTCATCAAAGTCTAGTCTAATTCATCTAATAGTCAAACATGCCTATGCCAGGTGATAGAAATAAGAAAGTAAATAAGACACATTCTAGTAATAATAATAATAATAATAAACAGTGCTTAAGCCCTCCCATCTTATCTCTGCTCATTCACACGTATAAGTCAGCTGCAAAGGCTCACAGATGCTTGACTTACCCAGCTTGGCACAGAATGATGGGTCCTTGTGGTCACCAGGTAGGAATCAATTCTGTTTCTTTCCTCTTCACTCCAGTGGTAACTCCAAGATACACAGTGGAACTGGCCTGTGGTTTTGGAGTCACAGTCCTGCTGGTAGTGATTCTCATTGTTGTTTACCACGTTTACTGGCTGGAGATGGTCCTCTTTTACCGGGCTCATTTCGGAACAGATGAAACCATTTTAGGTGAGTCATGGAAGTTGGATGTAGACTTGTTTTACTGTTGTCTTTAGAAAACATGTTTGCTTGATAAAACCTGGATGAACGGAAAGATTTAATCAGACTATCTTTTGTTTCAGCCCTTACTATTGAAGATCTCCCCAATGTGTATTATTCTACTTTCTTGGCTCAGTATGTGGTTTGGTCTATATTAGCACTGTTGAGATAGAAACATAATGCAAGCCACATATGTAATTTACAATTTTTTTGTTGCTACATTGAAAGTATAAACCAACAGATAAAATAATTTTAATAATATATCTTATTTAACCTAATATATTAAAATAGTAACACATCAGCATGTAATTAATATTAAAAAGTTAATGAGATATTTTAGAGGTTTTTTTTAAGTACTAAAAATCTTCAAAATCCACTCTGTAATTTACATTTGCAGCATATCTCAATTTGGGCCAGCCACATTCCAAGAGCTCCATCGCCACACTTGTCTGCTGTATTGGACAGTGAAAGTCCAGACTCTTAGTATTCAAAGGGTGATCCATGCACCAGCAATATCAGCATCACCTGGGAGCTTATAAGAAGGAGACTCTCAGGCTTAATCCCTACTGGATCAGAATCTACATTCCAACAATATCCCCAAGTGATGCATGCACACATTAAAGTTTACGAAGCACTGCTTCGTGCAAATTTGCCTGATGATAAGATTGGGGCATTAAACATATAGACTGTTAAGCCCATCCCATAGAGATTCTAATTCAGTAGGTTTGTGGGAGAGACACAGATTTTGGGTTTTAATGACAGGTGCTATTTATAACCAGGCAACTTGGAGAAAGATCAGTCTAATCTAAGTATATGTAGTTATTTGTGGCTCTTTTTAGGCGTAAATAATTTTGTTTCAAAAACTTGTCCTCAATTTGTCATTCTAATATATTGGTGAGTTATATTCTGGAACAGGGACTAGAAATTTTTTGCATGGTAGTCATTGCCAGCACCTAAGATTGACCAATTGTTTGCATTGTGGTTCTGTTAATGTACAGTTGAATGGGTCAAACCTCACTCTTTCTCTGTTATGAAAATTACACTCAGTGAGATGAGAGTAGAAGACAGGAGGTAAAATTTGCAGTTACACCTTCAAATAGTTATTTTGCCTGAAGACGTGTCACATGCAGAAAATCACACTGGACTCTGTCAGAGCGTTCATACGCGTAAAAAATAAAAATGTCTAATATGCAGAAGTTTGCTTTAAGAAAAAATTCAGTACTATTGAGAAACTTTGCTAATTTATATTGGGTCTGTGCTCCTTTTGCTAGATGGGAAGGAGTATGATATTTACGTATCTTACGCAAGGAATGCTGAAGAAGAAGAATTTGTATTACTGACTCTCCGTGGAGTTTTGGAGAATGAATTTGGATACAAGCTGTGCATCTTCGACCGAGACAGTCTTCCTGGGGGAAGTAGGTATTTCTGATGAGCACACATTGTGCTACCCTGAGAGATGAAAGTATCATGAGCTTTGGATCATGTATGAGAGACATGACATAGCTCTAAACTGGCGTCTTTGGACATTTAGTGTCCGATTCTTTGATGCAGTAGAGATTTCTCTAAGAATAAACTACATTATAATGTATAGTCTATTCCAGCTCAGTTTATGGTATTAAAATATTTTCCCCTGTTTGTTTTAAGAACTCCCTGTCAGAAAAGTGTGGATGCACACTTTTATTCCATTAAATGCCACATAGCTTTAAATGCCACAGCTTTAAATGTCCCATTTACCCACATTTAGAGTTTTAGAAGCTTTAGGCTGATCTGTATGGATTTGCCCAGAATTTTTGCCAGGCTACATGGCTAACATTAGTAATACTCATTACTATAAAATTTGATGTAGCAAAAACAAAACATTTTTATTAAGACTGAGATTTACTAAAACTGAGTTATAGAGTCTTATATTACTCACTGATAATAGTTCGAGTATTTCCCTTTGGCTTTTGCTCATTTTCTTTCCTCCCCTTTATTTTCTAGCAAATTAGCGCTACTCAGTTTTCCCTTTTCCTTGGGTTTGTTTCTTCCTTTCTATCAGCTTACACATTGGAGATACAGATTAAAATCTTACAGAGACCAGTGTATTCTAGTTAAAAAAAAAACCAAATTACTAAATTTTTAAAATAAAACCTCTCATTTTCTCATCCACCCCTATAATACACAAAGTAATGGTCCATTTGAATCTATTTTAATAAACACATTAGATAGCATTCCTAAACCCACTGTTATACTTTGTACTGTTGAAATGCATGTAATTTCTCTAATCTTGTGATAAACCAGGAAAAGATGAACTGATGATACAAATAAGACTTAATTCCATTTTAAGACTTAATCCCCCAAGTCATTTATTCATCCATGTATTCATTCATACAGCCATTAAAAAATATTTATCTGCTGTGTGAAATGTTATATAAAGATATTTAACAGTGTAAGTCTCTCCAAAAGGGATAGATAGTTCTTTGAAGAATTCAAGTTCTCCATAATTACTCTTGCCTCTTGCTTTTGATGGTTGACCCTTGCATCCTTTTGCATTCTCCCTGCTGCTCTGGCTCAATCCTCCGCCTCGGGGTCTTTTCCCATGTTTACCTATGGTCAACCTCCAGCAGTGCTGCCTGGAGGGCACTCTTATTCCTGGCTTCTCCTCCTGGCTTTACCGGCTAGGTTTTAGCTGTCTTTCTCCCATTGCCTCTGTACCTGTGAAGATTAAGGGGCACAGTGACTGCTTAGGGGAGTACGGCAAACCATGATACAGATCATGAAATAGATTTCCACAACACAAGTGCATTTCCTGATGTTGGCTCCTATCTGAATCCCACGTAAAGGATTGTACAGTCATCCATAAGCAACTGCCAGAAGATGGATTCGTCTCAAGAATTTAGTGACAAAAACTAATCAGAGCCCTTGACAGCAGACGAAAATGACACTACATTTCCATTTTCCCTCCTGCTTTTTTTTTTTTCCTTCTTTTGACCCAAAGAAAGCCTTTGCCTGTTAATGAAAGCAGACACATCAGCCAGCAGCTGCCGAGACACTTGGCTCTGTAGTAATGATAGGAGTTTAAGGAGAAGGATCCAGGGACTAATTTAGGCTCCAGGGCAGAGAGCAGAATAGAAAGCTGAGCTGAGAATGTGTTGCCGGATAAAATGCCGTTCAATTGGCTAGATTCTTTTTTTAAGCTGCTTTTCCAGAGACACAATGAGATCAGTCTGACTTAGGGAGGTGTGCGGCAATAGAGAGGACCTTCCAAAAAAATGAAGGTTCAAACTCCTGTTGTATTACCAAAAAATGAAATGTTAATATTTTGATTCTTTAATGTATATCTTTTTTGAGTGCCTGGTGATACTGGGGAGCCTTGGTGGCACAGTGGTTAAGAGCTCGGCTGCTAACTAAAGGTCCTCAGTGCGAATCCACCAGCTACTCCTTGGAATCCCTATGGGGCAGTTCTACTCTGCCCTGTAGGGTTGCTGTTAGTCGGAATCAACTCAACGGCAACAGGTTTGTTTTTTTTTTTTTTTTTGGGTGATACTGAAGAGTTGGTACCTGGTTATCTTGGAGGAGAAGGGCTCAGGTGCTGATTTGGCTGGACCACAACATGCTACACCATTTGAAGAAATTGATTTCAGTATAATCCATAGTGTCCCAGATTTTAAAGCCTAATGTCACAGAAATACACCACTTTTTGGCTCCATGCCTCTCTGGAATTCTTTTTGGATTGGAATGCGTGTATGTGGTTTCCGTTCTCCCTGAGGAGAGGGGCATTTAGTGAACAGAGTGATCGAGTTTAAGAATTAACATTGTTCAAAGCTTTGTTGCTAAAGATTAGACTGGTCTATGGGACATAAAATGATATTTGTGGAGAGTGTGCTTCTTAGCTCAAGTAGATAGATGAGAGTAAATGGGCAGCTCTTGTCCGGAGGTGAGATGAGAAGGCAGAGAGGGTCAGGAGCTGGTTGAATGGACACAGGAAATCCGAGGTGGAAAGGAAGAGTGTGCTGTCACAGTATAGGGAGAGCCATTAGGGTCACATAACAATGTATGTATAAATTTTTGTATGAGAGACTCACTTGAATTGTAAAATTTCATTTAAAGCACAGCAATTAAAACTGTACTTGAAACAACTGAAAGAAAAAAAGAATTAACAAAGCTTTGTTGGTAAAAAATTTCACCTCAGTTCTCAGCCTGTTACTCTAAGGTCCCTGCACTTGCTCCTCAAGCCCCATGCTTTTGGGGGTTGCTTGGCCAACACTAACTCCCATGGTGTTTTCTTTCCCAGTTATCACAGATGAGACCTTGAGCTTCATTAAGAAAAGCAGACGCCTTCTGGTTGTCCTAAGCCCCAACTACGTGCTCCAGGGAACCCAAGCCCTCCTGGAGCTCAAGGCTGGCCTAGAAAACATGGCTTCTCGAGGCACCATCAACGTCATTTTAGTACAGTACAAAGCTGTGAAGGAGATGAAGGTGAAAGAGCTGAAGAGGGCTAAGACGGTGCTCACGGTCATTAAATGGAAAGGGGAGAAATCCAGGTATCCACAGGGCAGGTTCTGGAAGCAGCTGCAGGTGGCCATGCCAGTGAAGAGAAATCACAGGTGGTCTAGCAGTGACGAGCAAGGCCTCTCCTATTCATCCTTAAAAAACTTATGAAAGCAGCAAGGAAAGGGGCAGAAAGAGCCAAGGCTACTCCAGGAAGGAAATGTTCCCCTTCTTTTATTCCAGGTTTATTGTTTCATGGGCAGAGGAGAAAAGCAATCTGTCAAAGCTTCCCCATAGGGATAAATTCAGGGTGACTGTATGACTGGCTGATCTGCTTCCTCAGGCAATACTAAGTTGTAGAGTGATATTGTCACCTGTCTCTAATGTCACTATGTTCCTTGCAGGCAAGGACTTGGTTGATGTGAACCTGTTCTTTTGCACCCTTCATCCCTGGTCCCATGTGTCTGTATTCCTTCTATTTCATCTTAACATTATGGGGCAGCCTTTTCCAATGGACTTAATAACCCCTTAAAAACAAGTCGTCTGTTCACAGGGCCATTATGATTTTCCAAGTACTGTTTTCTTTTTCTTTTATTTTTATTCATCCATTAAAAAATACCATCAGGGCCTAGATTTATTTTAGCTCAAGCTGATGAGCTCTTTTGCTTATTCTGCTGTACCACATACCACCACAGCCAGACTGACATCCACTTAGGATGATACAAAAGAAGTCTATCTGAAAATGTTCCTTATTGATTTTCAAAGGCTTGCCTGCATTTTTTTTCCCTACAATACCACCCTACCCTCCATCTCAGGTACTTAATTGATGTCATTTTTGTAAACTTAAAAAATATACCATAATTTCTGTTTTTATTGTAGTAAACTGATCATGTGTAGTTCAAACTATGTTTATCATGTCATCTTCCTTTCTACTGTACCTTGTATCTGTCATTCACACTTTGAAGGTGGTTCCATACTCCCTTCAGTCTGAAAGGAAGCTTCTCCTAATGGTGCTAATAGAGAATGAGATATGGCAAAATGCTTTTAAAGCATTTTTCTGAGTTATGAGAAGAACACAGAACAGGGTATTTGGCAGTTTATCTTTTAATCCCAGCCTTGCTAAAGTGGAATACTGGGAAAGTTATTTTGCCTCACTCGTGTTTGTCTTCTCAGTGTAAAATGTGGAGGTGAAATCCAGTTGCTTGAGTTGAAAGTTGTTTTTAACATTAATATTCTAAGGGAATTAACTGGACCCCAGTATTTTCTGCATTTATTCACTGGTACAGTTTTAATACGTTCACTCCAAACAAGTTAATCTGGAAAGCCACTTTCAATGAATACGTGTTTGTTTTAAATAGTTCAAAACACTAGGAAAAGCAAAAACAAAGTCCAGAGTTTACAGAGTGATGAATATCTATGTTACATATAGGTAGAATATATATATTTGTATGTCTGTATGTATATATATATATATGCATGTATATGTATACATATGTGTGTGTGTGTGTATATATATATGTATATACAAGCATGCATATGACTTCAGTGGTCATTGGCACAATATCAAATTCCACTGGAACTCTTGTCCAGTTTTAATTATGTTTTTGCTGTAATGCTTTTGTGTCAGTATTTTCTGTACATTAATATTATTTGTGAATTCACAGCTCACAAAGTGGTAGTTGTCGTTCGTGCTTGCCTTCCCTAAGTTCATAGAAATCACTGAGTACTGCTGCCGTTGAACTGGGTGCAGTGGGATCTGTTATGCAGAGAGCTTCGATGGTTCCCACTAATCAGTGGCCAGCCATCTGGCGTTAACTGATTACCTACTATGTTCCCAGCGCACAGTTAGAAAGTAAGCTATCTTAATCTCAGTGCTCAGCAGCTGGAGATATGTCTCTGTTTGGACTGGTGAGTAACAGAGAAAAGGAAGACAAAATACTTATAAATGAGTCTGGGTATCTTATGAAGCACCATAGCTTGTAATTGAAGGAAGCCCTTATCCTAGTAGTATGAATGTTGATGAGCAGTTCTGAAACTATTCCCTACATCTAAGTGTCCTTCATCAGTATTAAAGTCCATGATAAATAATTTCTCTAAGTAGGAGTTACTGATTATTCTAAATTGAAAAAAGCTTCACCTTTGAATTCTTGTCTATAAGAGTATGGTGTGGAGTCACTCTTGGATCTAACTTTTTTAGACTTATGAATGCTTTTCCATATTAAAACCACCTTTACTCCCCCTGTTAACTCTTCACTCACAAGACCAGCGGAGAGCTGTCTCCAGATAAGCTTTGACTACCAGTTCTTGCATAAGCTCTAGGCAAATGAGGGATAGTCTCAGCGCCAAGAGGCCATGATTTTGCCGCATGCTGTTTGCACTTTCCGACTCCATATTTATCCTCTGTGTAGTTGGGTGTCGCTGCAAACTCCTTGATGTACATTTATTTTTTCCTATTTATATTCCTGCCTTTAGTACTGGACTTTTCCAAATGGTGAAACGGAAAGCATCTCAATTCTAAGCGGTACGGCTCATGCTGAGAAAATTTGTTTCAAGATTTTTGGTTGGTTGGTTTTATGTCCCAGAAGATACCTAATAGGAACGCTTGAAGGGGCTGAGGAAACATACTTGTAATTTACAGCATGAGAAGAAATCATGCCTCTAATGTTAAAAAGAAATTGTTTTACATATATGATCAAAAGACCTTCTGCACCCAGGTTAACAAAGAGCCACGATATACAGCGTCTAATTATGCATTCATGTAAAAATTATTTCATTTTCTTCTGTATTGCAACTTAGATAATTCCTTAGGATTCTAAGGAAGTGGTACTCCATTGTATCGGAAAGCAAAAGCATCACTCCACTTGTAAATTATCATTTTCTTTTCATAAGTTTTAATATTTTAAGATTGTCTTTTTTTATTTTATTCATGTACTTTTGTATTTTCCATATTTCATTTTATTTGTCAATATGCTTATTTTTTAAATAAACCATTTATTTTCAGCTTTGAATTTTTTTTGTGCATGTGTTTTGTGTCTTTATTTTCATGTTTGGGCATAAGAAGTGAGACTAAAAAGATGAATGATTACATTTCTAATACGAAAAGTGAGACGCTACACTAGGTAAGTTTCTCTTTCTGAGAGTGATCGGAGAAAAAGAGGGCCTTGCTGATCTCAAGAAATCTTCCTTGTATGTGAGCAAAAGAGAATTGCCTAAGCAAAATGGATTAAACTAGTATACTAGGGCATCTGTGTGTGTGTGTGTGTGTGTGTGTGTGTGTGTGTGTATGAAAGCTGTAGTCATTATATATATTTATATATAATATCTATCAGAGAGAAAGAGAGAGAAAATCTTTTTAAACAATGTCATAAGCCTATCCCTTTCTGTTCAATTTGGACAGCTTTAATGCAACCAAGTCAGTTGCTGCTTTGTTACGGGATCAAGAAATTAACGCCCTGCTTTTAGCTGATTTATGATCATTTGAATCAAACATACATTATATCACAGACTTCAGTTAAACCAATCATAATATTTGAAAATGAATTTTCATTTGAGTTAGTAATACTAAGTCATAGTGACAGGAATATCTTCTTGCTTTAAAAAAAAAAGTCCATCCATTTACTCAAAAGAATATTTATTGAGTCCCTGTAATGTGCTCTGAACTAATTAGCTTAGGAAAAATTTCTCCAATGAAAAATTTTCCTCTTTCAAACAAGTCCCCAAAGAGTAGATTTAGGATCAATGGGTGAAAGTTACAAGGAAACAGATATCTACTCAATTAAGAAACAACTTTAAAACAGAGTCGAACAGTAATGGAATTAACTCAGTTAGGAAATACTAGGTTTCCCGTCACTAGAGATATACAAGAAGAGATCTGATGGATTTTCACTGAGATGTTGTACATGGGCTTTTTGCATTGGATAAGTGGTGATTGATCTGAAGTTACTTCCAACTCTGCGTATGTTAAATGATGCTCTAGAACATGGTGGTATCTACTTAGAAGTTTCAATATCGGCCATTTGAACCTCATCTACCTAGCTATCCCTACGGTCGTTAAACTCGCAAGATGTTTTCTTCAGTTATCTCCTGATGTCACTAGTTCTTTGACACCAGAGTAAATTCACAGTATGGTATGAAAGATATATTCAGCAACTAGCCCATCTTATTTCTCTTTTCCACCCGAGGAATGTGAGGTAATTTAGCAAGGAGCTAGAAGACTAAGTGTTTCACTATTTTTTATCCAAATTTATTTTGAACTGAATAGACAATTTTTTTAAATCCTATTACTTCTTATAAATCCACATACTAAGGTGATGTGTTTTGCGCATACTCTAAATTAACTTGAAGAATTGATTCAGATTCGGTAAACATTAGTCCATATATTATCTTAATATTATGTTCACTAGACATCAAATAATATTAATTTAATGAGAGTGATTTATTTAAATTTCTATTGTGTGCTGTTGTCACTGTTGTTGTTAGGTGCTGTTGAGTGGGGCCCCAACTTATGGCAACCCAGTATGTTACAGAGTACAGCTGTTCCATAGGGTTTTCTTGACTGTTAAGGAAGCAGTTTGCCACGCCTCTCTTCCACGTAACCTCTTGGTGGGTTTGAACCGCCAATCTTTAGGCTAGCAGCCTATAGCCAACTGGGTGCACCACCCAGACATTTACATATGTTGTTGTTGTTAGGTGCTGTCAAGTCGGTTCTGACTCATAGCAACCCTGTGTTCAACAGAACAAAACACTGCCCAGTCCTGTGCCATCCTCACAGCTGTTATGCTTGAGCCCATTGCTGCAGTCACGGTGTCAGTCCATCTCCTTGAGGGTCTTCCTCTTCTCACTGACCCTGCACTTTATCAAGCAGGATGTCCTTCTCCAGGGACGGGTCCCTCCTGATAACGTGTCCAAAGTATGTGAGATGAAGTCTTGCCATCCTTGCTTCTAAGGAGCGTTCTGGCTGTACTTCTCCCAAGTGGGAGTTGTTCGTTCTTCTAGCAGTCCATGGTATGTTCACTATTCCAAGTGGTTTAAAAACCCTACCAATTTGCTGTCACTCTCAGCATGTTATTGTTGTTGTGGCTAGCTGGCACTGAGTCTGCCCGTGACTCACGGTGACACCATGCAGAACAGAATAAAACACTGCCCGGTCCTGCATCATTCCCACTGTCAGTTGTGAATCAAGCCATTGTGCTCCATAGGGTTTTCATCGGCTGAGTTTTGGAAGTAGATTGCCAGACCTTTCTTCCTAGTCTGTCTTTGTCTGGAAGCTACACTGAAACTTGTTCAGTATCATAGCAACACATAAGCCTCCATGGACATATGGGTGGTGGCTGTGCATGAGGTGCATTGGTCAGGAATCAGACTTGGGTCTCTGGCAATGAAGGCAAGAATTCTACCACGGAACCACCTGTACCTCCATACGTGCATTGTAGAGATAGAAAACTTAGACTCAAAAATACGAAGATAAAAACAGAGGTAATTGCAGAAATCAAGATTTTAATTCATACCCATCTGATTCTAAATTAGGCACTTCCTTTTTTTTTTTTTTCCCCACTACACTTCAAGGAGAGACAGAGAAAGGTCTGCTGATTTTTCACCTACTAAAAACCTAGCCAGAGAACAAAATTACATCCCTAGTTTTCCACTAGGTGAATGTCAGGGAGATTATGACTTTTAAAGTAAAGAGCATTGTGGTTTATTGAAGATTTCGGGACCAGAAAACATGACTTCAAAACCAATTTGCTACTTTCTAGCCACACCTCATTTTTTGAGCCCAAACAGAATAAAACACCTAATTTATGACTCCATCCCCAAATAGTCCTTATTAAAAAATAATAGTTGCCATCCTCAAACAGTGAGTTTTAACACTAGGAAAGTATTAAAAGAATGTGCCACAAAAGAGGCAACCTCCTTCAAAGTACAAAGCAACGACTCCTGGGACTATAGCTCAACCCCCATCTGAGAAGCACTGCGCTCTTCCAAATGTAAAAACCCCACTTTCCGGGTGGAGTAACAGTACCAAAAAAAAAAGTCACTGACTCTAAAGACAATTTTCTTTAGATGGTCAAGGACAGTGTTTTATTTTCAACAGTGATAGCCCCACTGGAACGCAGATATATTCTCTTAAAGCAATTATTTTGAAGTAATACACACACACACACACACACACACACACACACACAAAAGGGCTTTCAAGATAAGTGCAAATTTAGATTTATCTTTTAAGATTGAAACAAAAATTATCTAAAACCCTTTGCACTCTTGTGAAAACCAGCCCCAAGTTCTTAGCAATTGGTCCCACATATCCTCTGGTTTCCTTCCAAATTAATGTCAAGTCTACAGATTAGAAAGAATTAATCTGGTAAAGAGCATAGCTTCGTCATTCACAGTCAAGTTCATCATCATCAAATTCACTGCAAACTTCCAGCTTGTCTTTACAAGCTAAAAAGTCAGTCACCGTTTCACCCCTGACCCCCAGTACGCTGGCACTCAATCTCATGGTCTGTCTCCAGCACTTGTTTTCAGAGTTGTCAATAGATGTGATTTGCACATTTGGAACTCCTTTCCTTCAGAAAATCACACTGTCTACAACTCGGTGCTCACAGATCACATAGTGAGTTAAGCACTCCATTTATCTGAAGGACTTTCCATGGGGATCTGTCCAAATCCAACTCAGTAACTATTAGAAATGACTGTTTTGCCGGAAGTCTTCACCGATTTACAGATTCTTACACATTGCCATTGTCATTGCCCCTTTAATTGAATTTTTAGGCCAGTTCTTCACAAAAAATGGAAAGGAAATTTTAGTTGACAGCAATGTCAATACTATGAGCTATCCTATGTGAGGTCCAAAAGTTTTAAGTATCAACAGATACAACAATACGGATTATTAAAAAAAAATTGCCATCGAGTCATTTCCAACTCTTGGAGACCCCATGTGTTTAAGAGAAGAACTGTGCCTTCTGGGGGTCTCAATGGCTGATTTTTCAGAAGTACATCGTCAGGCCTTTCTTCCAAGGCACCTCTGGGTGGACTCCAACCTCCAACCTAGCAGTTAGCAGCCAAGTGCATTAACCATGTGCACCCCAAGGACTCTATGTGCATCATAGCAAAAACCAAACCCGTTGCTGCTGAGTTGATTCTGACTCATAGCAACCCTACGGAAGAGAGTAAAACTACTCCATAGGGTTTCCAAGGCTGTAATCTTTATGGAAGCAGACTGTCGCATCTTTCTCCTGAGAAGCGGCTGGTAGGTTTGAACCGTCAACTTTTTGGTTAGCAGCTGAGCACCTATCTGCTGCACCACCAGAGCTCCTTATGTGGATCATCTGAAAAAACAAAACCAAACCAGTTGCCGTCCAGTCGATTCCGACTCATACTGCCCCTATAGCAACCCTATAGGACAGAGTAGAACTGCCCGATAGGGTTTCCAAGGAGCAGCTGGTGGCTTCAAACTGCCGACCTTTTGTTTAGCAGCCAAGCTCTTAGCCACTACACCCCCAGGGCTCAAAGTGGACTATAGGATGTGGTAATTCCCCCAATGCTCTTTCCTGATCAGACCATATCCGGACCTTTGTGTTCAGTTCTGTTCAGAACACCACTTTTTGGGCACACACAGAGAAACTGAAGATTATTCAGAGGAAGATGAGTGTGAGAGAAGATTTAAAACCATGTCATATGGGGAATAAGATTAAAATCTTAAAGTTATTTAATCTAGAGGTGAAAAGAAAATACGGTGAATCACAATAGTTAAATAGTTAAATGTTGTCAAATACTTAAAGTATTTGAAGATGTCAGAACTAAGACTACTAGATAAAAATTGCAGG